GTTCTGGGCACCACATTTTAGGAAGGATGTCAAGGCCTTAGAAAAGTTACAGAGGAGATTTACTGGAATGGGATCAAAGGGTGAAGACTTCACTCATATTGGATGACTGGAGAAAGATAGCAACTCCAATGCTAGGAATGTCAGTCTGCATTTTGAGCTCAAGACAGAACCAAGTTGCTGGCAGCTGAATGGAAGACTCAGTGTTTGAAATGTTGCTTCAGCTATAGCTCAACCATGATAAAATTTCTGGGTGTGCAACATTTTTGATGCTGAAGATAGCAATGCAAACATTAAAATCATTTGCAATAGGAGCAGGAATAAACCATTCAGTCCCGAGCCTGCTGCAACATTCAATAGCATCATGGCTGATCTGATTGCGGCCTTATCTTCACTTTCCTGCCTTTGCTTAGAACCTTTGACTTCCCTGTTAAATATTGTGAGCTCTGAGTGGAAAATATCAAGCAAATACATGATGCTGGATGGTGCTCATTATTTTTGCCTTGACGGCTAGACATTAACTTGCTGCCTACAGAATTTTACAAGTACTACTTCAGATCAGCACAATCACTAGACAAACTAGATGATAGCTTACTGCAATAATATTGAAGGAAAGGGAAAATGGAAAAAAAAGGAATCAATTATTCATGAAACTACATATATACACAAACAGGCTTTCAGCAGTGGGAATGAAATGTCTCAGTCTCCTCATATACATCCACACGTGCAGAAAAAAATGTAGATATCCACCTAATTACATTGCAGCCTTTCCAAAATTTCACATGGTATTCCTCATTCTGTTGATGTGCAGTTTTACAAATTTGTACATTCACATGACTATTCCAAAATTGGGAACCAGCAAATAATATCCAAGAACATAATTCAATCTACCCACCCGAGCACAAAGATTATTGATTATGAAAATTGTGCATAAAATCATCTAATACATGCTGCAGGGACACATCAGCATTGTATTATGCATGCCATATCACATGGTATAATGTGTATTTCTTGAAGTATTCACCCTGGGTAAAGTGTAAAACAATGAGAATGTACAATCAGTTTTACTATATTCTTTTTGTGTAATCAAAAATCTAGAGTCTTTATTCATTCTAAAATACAACAGTTATTTTCAAAAGTTACTTCTGGGGGAGGGTAAGACACAGGGCTGTCTTAGGCACCTAATACCCTTGCACCAGCCATGTTCTACTTTGTTTGGATTGTTAACACTGCACCATAGATATACTAGCATTGGAGGCTCACTAGGCGGAGAAGAGTCACTAGGTTGATCCTGGGTATCAAGGGTCTTTATGACGAGAGGTTGAGTAGGTACTCGTTGGATTTTAGAATGAGAGGCGATCTTATTGACGCAGTCAAGATTCTTCAGGGGTCATGACAGAGTAAATGCAGAAAGGTTGTTTCCACTTGTGGGAAAGTCCAGAACCAGAGTGCATAATCTCAGAAAAAGGGGTTGCACATTTAAAAGAGACAAGGAGGAATTTCTTTTCTCAGAGGGTGGTGAATTTGTGGAATCTTTTGCCACAGAGGACTGTAGCAGCTGGGTTATTAAGTATATTTAAGGCTAAGATAGATAGCTTTTTAATCAGGGAGTGAAGCAAACATTTTGAAGAAAAAGCAGGAAAGTGAAGTTGAGGATTATCAGATCAGCAAAAATCCAAATGAATGGCAGAGCAGATTCAACAGGCTGAATAAACTGCATCTGTTCTTATTAGAAATTAGAAAAGATACTAGAAAAGACTATCATGTGAATTCAGCATTGAAGCAGGCACTGAGAAAGGTGTTATCGTGAATGAGTTATCAATCTATTCACCAGAATGTATAATGGACATGGGTGTTAAAACTTATTAATTAATTAATTATGGTTACCAATGAACATTGTTCAGTTGGGAATCAAAACCAGTGAAGCAGTAACTGTGATTTTCCTATAATCCTAAAGTCAGAAAACGGAGACCAGCATTTCAGTTTGACAGCAGCAAAACAATTTAACAAGATTGGACACATATGTGCAACATGAGAATTGTGCTTCAAATGTTCCCAGATAGTTTTGTCCTTTTACTTATATCATTTAAACCCACCACCTTGATATATTTCGTAGAAACTAGTTCTGTTGTTAAAAATATTGCAGAATAATAGCTTGGAATTATCATGCTTTGAACTAATAGAAAAGATAAATCCAATTGAGGTTTACAACTAAAAAGATATAGTTAACAACGCAGCATTCAAATTGGTAGGGAAATCCAAAATAAGGGAAAGTAATTGCCAGACAGTCACTAACAAAATTCAGGTAGGATCCTAAGGAGCATATAAACAGTCGCACTCATCAGCTGGGGTGAATGGCTGTGCTGTATATTCTATGGTGGGTTGAGAAAGCTAAGGAGCTGCAACTGTTGCTGACAAGCTCAGCACTTGGTGTCTTTTCGATGCCACCAAGGCAATATGCAATCCCAACACCCTTAGCCTCAAACTGGAGCAGAGCAAGGATGGAACACTTTTGAGAGACAGAGAAAACATCAGCCTCTGATGGGCAGAACACTTCAAAAAACTCCTAAACTGTGATACAACTGGTGACGAAGACATGTCTGACGAAACCCCAAACTCCCCAATGATGTTCTTGGGCTCACACAGTGTAGCAGAAGTTGAAGTGGCTATTAGACACATGAAGAATAGAAAAGGCTCAAGAGTAGATGGGATTCCAGCGGAGATTTTCAAACTTGGAGGAACAGAGCTTATCTGTCATTTCCATTAACTGTTCCTAAAAATCTGGGACAAAGATAAAATCCCTGCCAATTCAAGGAAGCTGCCATCATAAAAGGAGACAAAATGGACTGGGGAACTCCCGAGGAATTTCCCCTACTCTCCATCACCAGGAAGATCATCACCCAAATCCTTGCTAGGCACCTTCTCCTAATCTCGTAGGAAATTGTTGCTGAAAACCACTGTGGTTTCCATCCAAATTGCAGGACTATGGACATGATTTTCATTGCTCAGCAAACTCCAAGAGAAGCGCCAGGAACAGCACCAACAATAGCCTTCAACTCAGTCAGTCAGGAATTGCTATGGAAGACACTGTGAAAGGCTGGCTGTCCAGTGAAATTCACTAACATCCTCTGTCTCCTCCATGACAAGATATTGGTGACAGTCCTTGTCGATGGTAATATGACAGAATCTTTTGAGGTCAAGACAGGGGTCAAACAAGGATGCATCATTGCTCCTAATCTTTTTAGCATGTTCATCGCCACCAGTCTTCACCTTATCAAGAACAAATTTCCAGTGGGCATTGTCTACAGGATAGACAGAAATCTTTTCAACCTCAATCAATTGAAATTCAAGAAGAAAATAACATTAATCCTGCTTCTGGCTCTTTAGTGTGCAGATAACAACATTATCTCTGTTCTCTCAGAAGAGGATCTACAAGCCTTGCTAAATGCCTTCACAGAGGCATATTGAAGAATTGGACTCAGCCTCAAACTCCAGAAGTTTCAAATCCTTTAACAATCTGCTCCAGATCAAATTGTGGTCCATCTCTTCATTAAGGTCAATGTAGAAATCCTCCTAAACGTGGAACATTTCCCTTACCTGGTCAAGGCTGACATTGATGCAGAGGCTCAACATTTCATCTAATCTGTGAATGCCTTCTTCAGACACCAAAGGTTCAGAGTCAGACCATGACATCCATGTTGAGACTAAGATCCTTGTGTATAAAGCAATCATCCTTCCAACTCTTCTACATGGATCCAAAACCTGGATCATGTCTAGAAGCTACCTAATGACCCTTGAGAAGTGCCATCAATGCTGTTTGAGATGGATCCTCTGTATAAACTGGGAGGACAGGCGTACTAATATCAGCATCCTTGAAGCTGCAAATAGCACCAGCATTGAGGCCATGGTCATCTGAAACCAATTCCGTTCGGTCGGCTACATGCTTAGGATGCCCGAGTTCTGATTGTCAAAGCAAATCATCTGTGTTCAACACGAGGAAGGCATTAGAGGGAGAGGAGGACAAAGGAAGCATTTCAAAGACTCCCTGAAGGCTTCCCTCAAGAAATGCAACATAGATATCAATGCATGGAAAATCCCTGTTCAGAAGAAACTGACTTGGAGGAAATTCGAGTACGAACAGCCACAATTCTTTGAGAAAACCAGTCAGCAAGCGGATGTATAGAAAAAGAACCAGAAAAAGGGATGCCAATGGAGGATCACTTCCACCTCCCAGAAACACCTTCCAAATGTGTGGTCGGAGATGCGGTTCTAGGATCAAGCTCATCAACCGCACAAGGACCCATGAGCAGTTACCAGGAATTTCCTAGGTGGACAATTATACTTGTTAGCAAGTGGTTGTTGACAACGCATAATATTCATATACTTCCTGATCATATATTGAAAATGAAAATATCCAAAACAGTGCTGGAATCCAAAAATAATTTCTTTATCTAATGTGAAACAAAAACAGAAATTGCTGGAGAACCTCAGTAGGTCTGGCAGCATTTGTAGAGAGAAAGCACAGTTAAAACATTTTTGGGTCCAGTGACCCTTCTTCAGAACCCGAAATGTTGACTCTACTTTCTCTCCATAGATACTGCCAGACCTGCTGAGTTTCTCCAGTAATTTGTGTTTTTTGTTTCAGATTTCCAGCATCTGCAGTTCTTTGTTTTATTATAGTAATAATATGGAACTTACTTTCATAGGGAGTGTAAAGGTTGAGGGAAGTCCAAGTAACTATGAGGGACAATGATAAGCTAACAATCCAGTGAAATATGGTGATAGGAGGCATGGATCAATCATAAACACTGGCACAGAGCTGTTTGGCTGAATCATGTTTCCATGTTGTACATTCTACGTAATTCAGTAAACTTGCAACCACGGTACATCAATCAAGCCTCCAAATCAATGTTGATAACCTTCAAATGAATTAATGTAAAATTAAAACCACAGCTAAAAAAAAAAATTTTTAAACAAAAAATATTAAGTAGCAGGGTACTTACTAATCCACTAAAGGCCAAAATCCATGTAGTCATACTAGATGTCAAAAGCTACAAATAAAACAAAACACAAATGGGTAACTGCAGATATGAACATACAAATCAGGAGCAGAAATAAGCCATTCAGCCCCTCAAGCTTGCTCTGCTCTTCAATAAGATCATGACTGATCTGAACTAAAATGAACTAGAAATAAATGTTAAAATAATATACATAATAATATTGAACAATCAATGTCAATTTTTCACTAACTTCATGTTAACAGAAAAAAAGATTAGTGTTCATGGTAACACAACAGAAAATTGCAGAGATTTGGAAGATCTCTAGAGTGATGACACTGGGGGACTTTAGTTACCCAAATATAGATTGTGAGTGCATCAAAGTAAAAGGGAAAGAAGTAGGGGGAATTTCTCAGATGCGTTTAGAAGAAGCTCCTTGACCAGTACATCTGTGGTGAAACTAGGAGGGTGGTGATGCTGAATTTGGTGCTAACTATGAGGTAGGCCAAGTGAAGTAAGTGATTGTGGGTAATGACCAATTCACCTTAAATTAGTGTTGGAGAAGGGCAGAGAACAATCTGAAGTAGAACTGCTACACTGGAAGAAAGGTAGCTTCAGTCACATAACAACAGGACAAAACACAATAAAACAAATGGTAATCTTTAAGGAGGAGATTTTCAGGTCAAGGCTAGGTACATTCCAACAGCGGGGATACGTGAGGAAAAACCAGGGCTTCTTGCATGGCAAGGGTGATAAAGAACATGGTGAAGCAAAATAAAAAGGAAGTGTGATGCATGTTTGCTGAATTATTCAGGCAAGAACTAGCCAAATACAATAAATTGAGAGGATGACAACACTCGGAAAGAGAGCATTTGAAAACAGAAAGGCAGCTGAAGTAAAAAGGAATACAAAAACCTTTTGTTGGCATGTAAATAGTAAGCAGGCAATAACACGCTCTGGGGCCTTTAAGGACTAAGCAGGAAATTTATGCTCAGAGGAACAGGGCAAGGCTGGAATGCTTAATAAGTATTTTGTAGGAACTCTGCCATGTACTCAGGAAGACAATCCCAACAAAATATCTGTAGAATTGGAGTCGGTAGAGGTAGGTAATAAACTGAAAATTGATGAGCAGGATATGTTGAAAGAGTGAGCTAATGCTACAGAAAATGAGCAACCGATCCAGATTGGTTGCATCCCAGGTACTAAAGGATGTAGGAAGGGAGTTAGATAAAGGCATTGCTATAATCTCTCAATTTTCCACTGTTGGGCTCTGTGTTGAGTCCGGAAGGCTGTAAAATGTTTACAT